GGCGGCTATCAATGTATTCGTAAGATTGACTTTCGTACCTTCATAGTATAGCCAGAAAAAAAAAAAAAAAAAAAGCACAGCCAGTACCAGCAGATTAGAAGGTAGGTGTCAAATCTGTGTCTCCAGTGTGGCAGAATGGGCACAACCATGCACTGCTGGACACTAGGCTGGGAGGTCAGGGGGTTGGGTGTTGTCTTCCCACTGCCCCCTCCAGGGTGCTTACTTGTTGAGGGAAGCCGGGCCTGACACTGATGCACTGACTGTTTTGTCGAGTAAGGATCCGCTTCCGTCTCCTTTGTCTCAACACCACATAGATCCTGGCATAGACAAGGACAGTCACTCCAAAGGGCAAGTAGAAGGACACCACTGAAGAGTAGATGACAAAATCAGGGTTGGAGATGGAGCAGACGCTGGGGTCCCCTGTGGGTCAGAGAAGGGGAGAAGGTGAAGCCATTTGCAGGTATTAGAGCTCAGCAGGGAGCACAAAACATGGTCCCACATCACACATGGTGTCTCCCCCTCCTGGCGGGTGCAATGTCAGCTCTGCTGTCAGCTCCTTGAGGGCAGGAGGTCCAATTCATCTTTGTGTTTCTCACAGTTCACTTAAAAAGAAAATATATCAACGATTATATGCCAGACATTGCTCTGCACTGGGGCTGCAAAGATGAATCAGACACCATGTCTGCTCTTGAAGGAGCAAAGAGCCCAGATAGATGATGATCCCTTCCGTATGATGTGCTGTCACCCAGGGGAATGCAGCCTGAAGGCTGGGGGAATGTCACGTCACAGAGCAACCAGGCAGAGGCTCCAGGGAGGGATGCAGCCCCCAGAAAAGGCCCTGCTGGTGTGGAGGCATTAAAGGATTGTTTGAATGCAGCCTTCTTTGGCTTCCTCCTTTCATTGCATTCCAACAGTCCTTTTGCTGAGAATTCCAGGTCTCCAGTTTTAAATGTGGGATGCAGGGCAGGTGGTGGCTGAACACAGGACAGGCATTTGATTTTTCAGGGAATCCCCAGCACTGGCCGGGGGTGGAGTGGGAAAAGGCTGGTAAGGATATAGTCACTGTGGAGAGTGTGAATTCAGAAGGGTCCCTGTCTCTGCTTTATGTCCTGAAATGTTGCTGCTACTCCTCCTTAGGAGGTCCCTATTGCTTTGCCTTCTTCATTAGCAGATGTTGAGATTCCTCCAATGCCCAGGGTGGGGCCTGAAACTTTCCCCATCTTAAAAGAGAAAAGGAAAGTAAACCAATATCTACCAGGTGATGTGCCAAGGGCTTTGTATACATTTTCTTACTTAATCATTGTGCCAACATCATGTGAGAGAGATGCCATTACTGTCTCTATTCTCAGATGAGCAGACTAAAGCTCAGAGAGCATCAGTAAGTGGTCCAAGGCTGCACAGCCTGAAAGATACATTCATCCAGCCAGTCTGACCCCAAAACCAATGTTCTTTCTGTAATTTTGACTTTATAACTCCCTCTACCACAGTGACATGGCACATTTGTGCTTTGTCCATCATTGTCGGCAACAACTGTTGGCACACACAGCCAATCTTCATAAAGCGTTGGGGATTCTCCAACCCAAAATCTGGCCTTAGAAAATAAAGCCTCAGGTGTGAGCTCATGGGGAGAGGGCAGTGGCTACATGGGCCCCTCATTCTGCTTCTTGGTCTTCTGAGATTGGTAGCAGCCAGGCAGCCCTAGGTGTGAGACTCAAATCTGCCATTTATTAACAGTGTGGTCTTGGGCACGTTACTTAACTATGCCAAGTCTCAGTTTCATTACCTGTAAAAAAAGGACAGAAATATTGTCTTATAGTGGTTGTGAGAATTAACGAGAATAAATGGTAGCTATTATTATTTATTATTTACCTCCCTGGATTTTTTTTTAAACTTAAGAAGGAAGGTATCATTTGGAATAGAAATTTGGGATGAGACTTATAGTGAACAATATTTGTAGGGGAGGGAAGGGAGCAGCAGCTAAGAGCTAAAATGGAGAGAAAGAGTGCTCAGTGGGGCAAGTTAATGACAAAGCTGCCACCAGAATCTTTACAAGCTACTCCCCAAAACTCTCTGGTTTTCTGGGGAGAGGGTAAGATTCACGTCCTCTTACCAGAGCCTGTGTCACCATCCTTTAGCAAATGGATCATAAGGCTCCAAGTAGTGATCACCAAATTGGTGTCTTCTGGAACTCTGGAGTGGTAGGGTTGGGGGAGGGGTGGGGTGGCAGCTGGTGGTCTTCCTGAATGTCTAGGGAGCCACCTGGGCAGTGATCAGCCCCTCCCCTGAAATCAGCTCCCCTGTTGTCAGCGTCTGACCATGATTCAGATGCCTCCTATATTGAGGTGAAGTCTCAGCATGTTTCCTGTGAGCAGAGGCCAGCAGGGTGGCAGGGCTACGTTCCCACCATCCATCTCGTTGCCACTCTTGGTGTGCTGGATACTTCTTATTTGTCCCTCCACATAACTCTCTACCCTTTTCTACCTTCCTCTGGAGCCTGGCCTCCAAATTTTGTATAGGAACTACCTCTTTTAAAAGGCCAGAGTCAGAAATGGGTATAGTCTGCTTGTATTCGTGTAGAAATGGAAACATGTATACACACGTGTGCACGTATGTGTGTGTGTGCACGTGCTTGCTTGTTTCAAGCATCGTCTTTGAAGAATAGTACTGTTTACTTCTAGGGAGCGGGGTGGGGAACTAGCAATCTGGGGTAGGAGGGAGACCTACAAATGAGTACATATGTGTCTCATTATACCTTACGAATGTTTTATCCTGTGCAAGTATTTATTTTTCCACTAAAAATGTTGAAAGTGTATGTATGAGAGAGGGAGAGAGAGTGAAGAGATGGCACATGGCTATTTCAGGATCCCTGATCAATAAAAGCCCTCCCATTAATCACTGAACTTGTACTGTCATCCTTTCCCTCCTCCCCTATCTAAGCAAACCTCTACCCTTCCTTAGATTGAGCTTTGCTGCCTCTCCCAGAACTTCCCCACGCTATTTGGTCTCATGACTGCACAGCAGTCAGAGTGACACTGGAGGCTGTGGCCAATGAGTGGGGCCTGGCCTGGGTGTGTCCTGTGGGCAGGGCAGAGGGATGCACCACACAGCAGCCCTTCTGAAAGCTTCTCTGCTGAGTGCTGAGAAGAGGCGGTGGGGACAGTGAGGCCCCCAGAAGCTCAGGCTTCCCTAGGAGATGAGGTACCTTCCTGAGATGACTTAACCGAAATAGTACTGTGCTGTTAGCACCACAGTTACTCAAGGAATACATCAGTGATGAATAAATAAGGAAAATGTGCAAATGAGCATGTTATGTAAGCACAGAAGCACTCACTGGCTGGAGGCTACTGGGGACAGCTGGGCGGGGGTGGGGAGGTTACTCGTCATTTTCTGAGATTAGAGATGCTTATCCCAACTAATCTCAACATTTAAGGAGGAAAGGATGATAATGAAGATTCAGTTCATCTACTTACTCATTCAAGAAACCTTTACGGAGCACCTCCTATGTTCAAAGCACTGCCCTGGGTGATAAAAACATTAAATAGTTCACTAAGGGGTCCAGGAGGTTTTTACGGGCTATCTTGGGAGCTTGAGTCCCATGGTGAAGTGAATAGCATGGCCAAAGCAGATTTACTTGAAAGATTCATGAACTTCAAACTTATTGAAAGATTTGAGCTCAACTTGATTCCAAAGGCAGGAGATGCTGATGAATCTGACTTTAGGATGAACCGATTATTCCTTTAACTTTGTGCTTCTATTATTCTTTTAACTTCTTGAGTAACCAAGCTCCCGGGCTCTAGTGCTCCAAAAGCCAGGTGAGGTGTTCTATTGTTAAAATCAAACAAATAGCACTCCTCAATTTCCTTTTATCAAAGGAAAATCAAGCCAGCTGATAGAATTTTCTTAACTTTAAGTTTTTCCCCTTCAAGGTGTCTTAAACCTTTGTCACCAACTTATTCATTCATTGCTTATTCATTCTAGAATTTTTTTATAACACAATAGCTACCTGATTTAGCAGAAATTTAAATACTAGTTATTTTTCTTATCTGTGAAATGAAAGGATCGGGCTATTTATTTAGGGATCTTTAGGGTGTCCTCTAGCACCCACACACCATGCCCTGCTGTCATTAAGGGCTGTTGACGATGTGATATTTGGCCAGATTGCTGGGCCTCTGTTGGGACCGGGGGCAACCTTGGAACTCTCTGACCCAAGATCCTCCCTGATGTTGCCCTTTTCTCAGAGAACAGGGGCAACTCCAAGTTGGAAGAGACTGAACATTTCTCTACCTTATGATCTCTAATAATTCACAATCAGCTGTGGCAGCCATGGCATTAAAAGAAGAGCTGGGCCAGGAAGTTCTTTTTTTGTGTTGTACATCTTAGTGGAAGTCCAGCTGCTTCTAATGTCAGGTGTTATTGGCAGTGTCCTGCCCCGTCCCCCTTGACTTCCCACAGAACTAGAAAAAATGACTGAGAGAAGTAATTCATATTGGGCTTTTGCATGAACTTAGGAAGTTCCTTACAGATGGGGGAGTTGCTGGAGGAACCCACATCTATCAAGATAATGAAGTTGTACCATGAAGGTCAGATTGAGGCAGAGGAGGACAGCTGGGTTTCCCCATCTTGAGTTCCATTCACTAATTCCCTGAACTGTATTTTAGGAAGAGGTGACAGGTCTCCTGTACGACCATTAGTAGAACTACTACTGTTCAGATCTTCTGTGGGGCAGACGTGTTGTTAAATTTTGAGGCACAGAACACCTTTCTAATAAATAATAACAACAATGACACCAACTAGTATCTGCTGGGCTCTAATGATGGAATCTGACACTTTGACACAATATATGGATAACTGGAGGGCTTACTACTGTGCTATTAATAAACTTACAAGTAAAAGAGAGATTGTGAGAGATGAGAGAGAACAAAGAGCTCACATGTGAAGTCACAGACCTTTTTTTTTTTTTTTACCTTCTCAATACTGTATTTGAAAATCCTTTTGGAAGGATTTTCATGAATTTTGTTTTTGGAACATTAATGATCTCACTGGTGGCAAAAACACTGCTCGTTCTTCTTCACTTTAGATGTTGACATTAACTGGGAACTCTGTCTAGTGTCAGATTTCGAGACTGTTTCAACTGTTTCCAAGTCATGTGTGTCTGTGAGAGTGAGACCGCCCCTACCAAGAATGCGTGACAGGAGCCATGCTCAGCCCAGCACGCACTGAACCTGGGGACTTGCTGCAGGCCGGGAGGTAAGCAGTGCCCTGGTCTAATAATGGTAATGAGTCTCCCATGCCACAAATTCCAACAGAGAATATATTTTCAAATAGAAACACAGTTACAGAAGGTGACTTAGTTATCAGGCTAATCCATAAAGCATATTGAACACTCACCGAAAAGGGCATTTTAGCGTCACAGAGTCAACCTCCATAGCTTGGTGGGGGATGTTGCTTTGTGATGTGCAGAGTGTGTATGTGCACGTGTGACAAGTGTATAAAGTGTCATTCAGTTAAAATAACAAAGAAACAAATGATAAAGAGTAATGCAGAGATGATAACATCATATTTTAGGAATAGCCTGGCTTAACCAGGCAAATATTTGTGGATAATTTGGCTGGTTAACTTTAATGTGGCAGAGAAACAAGCCTGACCTTGAGTAGGTGGTATGTGCTTGGCATGTTTACATATGTTATCCCAATTTAATCCTCATTTAATTGCGAAAAAGTCTCTATGAAGGAGATAGATTGGAGTTATATCATATGTAGGATTAGATTCTAAAGTCAATGAATAAAGTGAAAATTATATAGACCCAAAATTTGCTTCGAAAATCTCCTGAATTACATATAAAGATATACATGGTATTATTATTATAACCCCAAACAGTAATAAGATTATAATATACACAGTAATGTCATATATTACAGAGTTCATATGGAATACGTAATTTTAGAGATAAAGTTCCTGGGCTTTATGTAGGGGCCATATATAAAAAATATTGAAAACTTCCTATTATAACTATATATAGACTGAGTCTACATATTTGAATTTGCTCAAGTTTATGCTCCACTGTATTATTATCCCAAATTTACCAACGAGGAAACCGAACTCACAAAAGTTAAGTAACGTGTTCAAGGAGACATAGCTGTTAAGTAGTAGAAGTTTAAAGTTCGGATTTAGAGTTTGAAGCTAGGTTTTTCTGACTCCAGAGCCTTTTTATGTCTTCCCAAATCATTGTCCAGCAAATGACACTTGGAAAATTATTTATAAGTTAGGATTTGCCTGTAATATGCATATACATAAGCACATGGCTAGGTGACTAGTACATATATACCAGAAATTCACAAACCTAGAATATAAGAATTGAATTAACCAATCCAAATGGACAAAATAAGAAATCCACATGAATACTAGAGCACTAGTCAGTTTTCTCTTAGCAAACACTCAGTGTGTATTGTCAATACCCATCACGTTACTCTGTGTGTTAATAGCTTTCATTTGACACATGAAATTCCTGAGGCTGAAAGATGGTTGTGGTACAGCCACAGAGGGCACTGATCCATATGAGGTGTAAATTTGGATTGGTGTCATTTGCTTAAGATTCCAGACATCTCAGATGTACACATTGTTCATCCACCCATCCATCTGTCCATCTCTCCAGTAAAGATGTATCGTGCTACACATCATAGCCAGATTTTCTGTATATTAAAAATAAAAAATACACCTCTCATAATTTGAGAATCTATATTAGTTCCCAAGTGTTAGAAATTATTCTTATTGAGTAAAAAGCCAGAAATATAATATATATCCTACAACAGGACTTTTGTGATATATTATTTTGCATTGTAGGTCTGTTACAAATTATCTTTTCATTAGAAAAACCTCACCTGAATTATTAATATAGCTTTGTTTTTTAACTGGTACATTCTTCAAATGAGTACAATGACATTTATTTCAAAATAGAGACGAGCCAGACTTTTCATGAATTGGGACAGAACTTTACCCCTGTGCCAATAATTGATGAGGTTTTGCTTTATATTTTATTTATAACCAACAAAGGCCAAAGCTTTGCAGTCTGGGTCATTCTCATTTGATTACCAAGTACGCTGACCCAGGGTCAGAAATTTCAGGGTTGAGCACCACTGATAGCCACTCAGGTGTGCTGTGCATCACATGAGTGCTGGGACTGAAGCCATCATTGTTACCTGTGGTGTTGAGGCCAAAGAGGAGAGGGCAGGACACAGCAAAGGCCAACACCCAGACAGCTGTAATCATGAGGGCCACGCGCCGACAGGAGCTCCGTCCCGTGCCATGCTGGTAGTGCACCGGCATGACCACCGCGGTGTATCTGCAGAAGGAAGGGCAAAGAGGATAGCGTGCTGAGACGGGATGGGGAACTGTTCAAAAGACAAGTTGAAAGAAGTTACTAGAGAAATAATCACGTTGATACATATGGCCGGAGAAAAATAACTTAGTTGGAGAAGGAGAGAAAAGAGTGTTTGAGGGAAAATAGTTGAAAGGTTTAGGTAAGACAGAGAAACTCATTGAGGAAGATGAGCAGAGAAAGGGAAGAATAAAAAAGTTAACGTAGCAAGACTGGGTTGAGAGAATTTACCAGTCCTGCATGATTGCCCAGCATACCAGCCTTGCAGCCACACACCCTCCACTTGGAAGACTCTGGACCCTACTCTGGATAGAGATGTGCAAAAGGGGTATGGTCCCTGTCCTCATTAAGTTTGGAGTTGAGAGGAGTGGACGAACAACAAAAAAGAAAACAAATATGTTAGCATAAAATGAGGAGTGGAGGGTGTGCCTTTACTTTCTCCCACAGTTTTTCAGACAGTGATAGAACTGTGCCCAAAGTGGATGTTTACTCCCTGCTCATATCCTTATATAAATTCTAACCCTCATAGCAACAACTCCTGCAAGTGGTAGAGGTTTCAGAAATAGAGTTGAGTAATAACCAATGGAGGCTTATTTTAAAATCCAGTTTTCATGCTTTGACATGGTCAAAGCCCAGTTCCTTTCACTTGTTGGACATTGTTGTATTTTCTGTGGCATCTCCTCACACACATTGCTACCCGCTTGTAGGACTTACCCAAACAATTGTTCTGCAGTCACCTCAAACTCAAGATGTCTAAAATAGATCTTCCCAGCTCCGCACACCTCTTAATCTGGTTCCATTTTATGCCTGTCTTTAAGACATTCCGACCCAGTACTCAGAGCTTTGGACTCTCCCTTGACCCTTTCATTCCAGTTGCTCACTCATTCATTTAACCTTTCATTCAATGTTTATGGAGTCTCTCTCTCTGTGTATATATATGCCATATATATACGCCAGACCCTATTCTGTCTGGTTAGAGATGTGCGAAAGGGGCATCGTCCCTGTCCTCATTGAACTTGGAGTTGAGAGGAGTGGATGAACAATAAAAAGAAAACAAGCATGATAGCATAAAATGAAGAGTGCCATGAAAGAAAGAAGCTGGATGATGTGTTAGAGAACAAGGGAGGAGGCAAAGAGGGGCCAAACCAACACAGAGTGGGCAGGAGGTGAGTGTATGAGAGGGACCAGCCATGAGGTGAGGAGGGGGAGGAACATTCTAGGCAGACAGATCACGGATCCTGGAAACTTACCAATTATGCTGTCCTTCCCATTGACCCACCCATGCCTTTCCTACTACCTGATTTCTAGGATGGCTGCAGCCTCCTGGCTGGTCTCTAGCTGCTAGGTTTCAAAAATAGATTTTATCATGTCTCCCCGCCTTCCCGGCTGAAAACTGTCCAAGACAGGCAGAATTCTAAGATTTCGGCCCTGTATAACAGCCACGCTGAGTGTAGGCTGAGCCTGTGAATACGATATAATAGCAGTCTTACGATTAGATTACCCACCGGCTGACCTTGAGTTAAATCAAAAGGGAGATTATCCTAGGTGGGCCTGACCTAGTCAGGTGAGGCCTTCAAAAGGGACTGGGCCTTTCTGAATTCAGAGGTTCAAAGCATGAGAAAATTTCCTACTGGCCTTGAAGGAAAAAACTGCCATGTTTCAAAAAGGGTCATTTGGCAGGGATGGCAAAAGGCCTACAGGAGCTGGGAACAGCCCTGGCTGACAGCCAGCAAGGAAATGGGGACCTCAGTCCTACAACTGCAAGGAACTGAATTCTACCAACAACCTGAATGAGTCTGGAAGAATAACCCCAGGCTCCAGATGAGAACACAGCCCAGCCTACATCTTGCCTTGTGAGACGCTGTGCGCGGTTTCTGACTTTCAGAAACTGTGAGATAAAAAAATAGGTATAGTTTAAGCCTCTAAATGTGTGGTGATTGTTCCACGGCTATAGAAAACGAATATACTTTCAATGACTCTTCTTTCACCCATAGGCCAAGCTTAATCTTCCCTGCCAACCTGACCTCCCGCTGGTTCCTGACGTTTATAGCTCCAGCCAAACTGGATCTACACATGGCTGGTGATGGGTATTCCTCAATATTCAGAGACTGGTGGTGTCTTTGTTCAAAACCATCATTCCTTCCCCCTCCCTGGGTGATTCAATCTCACTCTCCCTTAATCCCAGATTAACTCTCCCCCAATCTTCCCAGTCCTTTCCATTTTACAGAGATCTCTGAGTCTGAATGCAAAACACTTCTATGAGAATCGATTATATTGTCCTCCTGCATACAGTTGTCTTGCCTCATTACTGAAATTGCCTCATGGCTGGAGAGAGATAGCCCTCACATGATTTATGTTGCTTGATGGCTCAAATCATCTTACAGCTTTGGTAATCCGAGGTCCTTGCACAGGGTGAGTAGTAAGAAGCTGTTGATTGATTGCTTCGTGGGGCATGAAGCCCTCCTTCCCTGTAAGCGGACAGGTTTAATTGTAGACAGGCTCAAGGGATCTAAGGTATATAGCTGGATCTACACATGGCTCAATATTTTTCCCTTCTCAGTTCCAGTGAACCTAAAGGCCAGATTAGAGCAGGGGTCTCCTTCACCTGTCTCGTGCACCTCGAGACTTGGGGCTGAGGAAAGGAAGGACAGATGCCGGGCTAGAGGGTGTGGGTCGCTGCTCCCTGATGCTCTTCCCGGGTGTGTGCAGCTCCTGCGTGCTGGCACTGCCCGAATCTGCCTCTCGCGCATCTGGTTTTAGGGTGTTAACCTTTATATTCCCAAAAGAGCAGCTGAAGTCAGCTGTGAGTTCTGAGATGAAGTAAACTCTGCAGGACTTTGCCTTGACACCATGATGTGTGACAAAGGTAGCTTCTTTCTCAGGAGGGAGAAGTAGAAGTCCTGAGCTCTGAGTTCTTGCTTTTAGTTGTGACCCTGGATGAGGGTTTGAGCCCTGAGTCCTGCTGCTGCTACAGTTAGTTGAGGGTAAGAGTAGGAAAGCTGTGACCCACTTCCTCCTGCCCAGACCTGCAGATAGGCCAAGATCTTCCATTTACATAATGTCCTTTGATGTAAAAGAGCCTGACTCCCCGCATGCACTCACCGGTGTGCTGGTAAATGGCTAACAAGTGGCTCTCCAGGTGGAAAAAGCCCTAATTTGTAACATTTGCCAATTTCCGTGGTGTAATTACTCCTACTGATGCCCATTTTAAGCTACCAACAAAGCTTTAATAACTGGTTCAAAAAAATTCCTTAAATTTTGCCAATCAGATCATGCTAGCCCCATTATGAGCTGGCTTCAGCACACCACTGGGAGTCGCATACTTCCCCGAATATGCTTTAATGTTCAGCCACTTCTTGAAGGCTCCATTAATTCAATCAGTTTGTGAGTGCAGGGAACCCTGGCTCCGTTTTATCAAGGAGGAATCAGAGTCACAGGCAGGCTAACAATGAACAAGTTCTCACAGCAGACTGTGGCAGAGCCAGGTCGTCCACGGAGGCCACTGTCTCTTCTGAGTGCCCTGCTCCTTCTCAAGGGCATCAACGAGTCTCTGAGGCCTTGTGGGGGACAAGGGCTTCCTCAGGAAAGTTGGCTCAGCAAGGGTGGTTTGTACTTGGAGAGTTCTGTGGGTGCCCAGAACTGAGTTTCCCCAGTTAGTTTGATTCTGTTAATTGCTGGGTATGGGAGGGGTGTGTGTGTTAAGATGCAGATTTCCAGGCCACGTCCCTGGAGGTTTTGATTAAGTACTTCTGAAGTGGAACCCAGAAATACGTATTTTTAACGAGTAAGTGCATCGTACGGTTAGATAGGTTTGAGAAAGTCTGCATTAGGGAAACTTTCTGTGACAAAGATTCTCGTTAACCTGGGTAAGAAGTGAGAGTCAAGACTACAATTTGCCACTGTTACATTAAATGTTTTTCTAATTCTGTTTAAAACACCATTAAACTATTGGAATAAATGAGGCCCCCAGCTTGCCATAGGTGACTGAGACATCGAGGCTGTTCCGGAATCAGCCATCGGAGGGCACCATAATGCAGCAAGAACTTCGCCAGCTCCGCCGGGGTGACAAGTTCATTGCTCACCTGGGGGCTCTCCAGGCTCGGTGGGGATGTGGAGAGGGAAAGCCCGGCCTCCCGGGTTCCTGGAGCCCTGCGGGGACCCTGAATTCCCACCCAGGCGGCTGCTGAGCCTTGGGTGTTCTCTCAGAGCGATTGCAGATGACGCACCGAAGGCGAGGGCCGCGCCAAAGCACCCGGAGGGCGGGCCGGGCTGGGCTTGGACTGAGAGGGAAGCCTGTCCTGACCCGCTGCGCTGGGGGTACTCCAGGGCCAGCCACACAGTACGCACTGGGGCGTCGCCCCTGGGGAGGACCCCCTCACCATGCGTTTGAGCTCCTTGCTCTCTGGGCCCTTTCTGGTGTGGATTGCTCCACTCACCTGAACGCTGGCCCTGTGCATGGCAGTTAAGTCCATGGGCTTGAGAAACAGACTGAGAAGCGTCCGAATCCCAGCTCTGCCACTTAAATGTGCGGCCCGTGGTTTGTCTTTTCTGAGACTCAGTTTTCTCATCTGTACAATGGGGATAATGATTCCTGCCCGAAAGAACTGTTATGAATATTGAATGAGATTATCTCTGTAAAGTTTTTTTGTTGTTGTTTTAGCACAATGCCTAGTACATATTAAACTTTTCAATAACAGTATTACTATTGTTGTTGTTATCGTGCTAGTCCAAGGGATCAGTGATTCATATCAGTGAATTTATGGTTGTCTTTCTACTACTCCTGATTATTAGGGAACATTACATTTTAAAATTTCTCCAACAAACAAGTGTATAGCACTTTCTATGTGCCAGGCACTGTTCGAAGTGCTTTAAAAATATTAATTTAATTTAATCCCCCTAATAACCCTTTCAGGTAGTTACTATTATCACCACTAAACAGATAAGGGAACTGAGGCCCAGAGGGA